CTTTCCCTCTCATCTGAACTTCTTTAAGATCTATAGATAAGGAAAACCAGACACTGTTGTTATTTTGTATTTTAGTTTCTGTCCTTCTCTAAATAGCTCTTCTGGCTGACCTCTTGTTTTCCATCTGCTTCTTTCTGTTCATCTGTTGTTGTCCTTGTTGGGAATCCTGCAGTGAAATATGGACTCTGAGAGACTCTTGGTGAGAATCTGCACTGGCTAGAAAAATAGGGGAAAAGAAATACTCATTCAAAACTTTGCTGAATCATCCATTCTATTTGTAATGCCACTGAAATAGTTATAAACCAGCTGATCTTGGCATGATAAAAATTGCTTTCAAAGCATAAACCTGATCTCACAAGGAAGGAGAAGTTTAACTGATACTAAAGGAAAGAGGAATTAAGATTATGACTTAAGTAGCAGAGAAGTGGAGAGAAAGGGGAATGGGACTAAAATTAGGTTGAGCAGTGGTGTAAATAAATGAGAGCCTCCAGCAGGGATACAGCTGATATTAAAGTTGATCAAGGAGACAGGAGAACTTGTGTACATGAAACTGATGGAACATAAACAGTTATTTCTTCCATTAGATGAACCACTTGGAAATCAATGGACTGGTTGCAGCACTGGGGCTACTGGGCTTGACTGGTTACTCAAAGTAGTAAGGCCAGACACTTTTGCATGCATGGACACAAAATCTGATACCCCTTCCTGTCAACCTGCCTAAGGGTGTTGGGGCTTGGGACATGCAATGGGCAGTAGGGGCATGAATGGCATAGCTAATTAGTTTTCTATTTCTTTGCCACCTGTAGTGAAAAGTATGTCACCACTTCTGGGAAATAACAGTTCATATGAACACGTGGAAAATGCTGGACTGTATAATTCACCAGAATCCATTGTTTCCCTTGCTATCTTCATCCTTGTCTTCATACTGGGTGTGCCAGGCAATGGCTTGGTCATCTGGGTTGCAGGCAGGAAAATGAAGCGGACTGTAAACAGTGTTTGGTTCCTGAACCTTGCCGTGGCTGACTTCCTGTGCTGCCTTTCTCTGCCTTTCCACATTGCTCATCTGATCCTCCATGACAACTGGCCATATGGCTCGTTCCTTTGCAAGGTAATCCCCTCAGCCATTATCTTCAATATGTTTGCCAGTGTTTTCCTTCTTACTGCCATCAGCATTGACCGCTGCCTCTTGGTGATGAAGCCAGTCTGGTGTCAAAACCGTCGCACAGTCAGGTTTGCGTGGGTGACATGCGCTATCATCTGGATCCTGGCTTTTGTTATGTGCTCTCCAGTCTTCCTGTACCGAGAGACCTCTGTAGATAAATCTGGCAAAACAAAGTGTGACTACAACTATGGAGATGAAGAATTTTATGAGTACCTGTATAATGGCAATGATTCTGACATGAACTATGACTTTTTTTGGGACAAGGATCTAGGGGACTACGCAACTGTGGAGCCAACTGGAACCCATGATGACACCCTCTTAACTTATCAGCTTCCTGATGAACACCTGGATTTCCAAATACCCATCCATCCCAGTGCTTCTACCATCATTAGCCCACCGTCATTCAGTCTTCTCCATTCGGTGGTACCAAATGACCTTGATGCTACAGCTGCCACAAATTCATCTACAGTGTCTTTTGCTCACCCTGATTTCAAGTCCTCTGAGCCTCCTGACAGCCCTCCTGATGTTGACCCATTCACAATGACCGATGCCATCATCCCTTTAGAGTTATCTGACCTTCCTGGTGGTCCTTCTGGCAGGTTCAATGATGGAATGTCTTCACCAGAGAATACAATGGAAGATTACAGTGATTACGTCCCCAAAAGCAGCCTGTCAGTCATCACTTTGACCATCACTAGGACTGTCTTTGGCTTCCTTCTCCCTTTTGGCATAATGGCAGCTTGCTATGGCCTCATTGCCTTCAAGATGCATGCATCTCAATTTAAGAAGCCCCGGGGTAAGACCTTGCAAGTGATTGTGGTGGTGGTGGCTGCACTCTTTGTCTGTTGGGCTCCGTACCACATAGTTGGCATATTGCTCCTGACAGTGAAGCCTTACACAACATTATGGAAGATGCTACCACTCTGGGACCACCTCTCAATTGCCTTAGCCTATGTCAACAGTTGCATCAATCCGGTGCTCTATGCATTTGTGGGGCGGGACTTCAGGGAGAAGGCATGTCTATCGCTGAAGGTGATCCTGGAGCGTGCCTTGAGTGAGGAAGTTACACACACAACTGCCTATTCCTGTGACAGGGCCAAGACCTCAACAGACAAGGATATCAGCAGTGTCCTATGAAATGGGTATTTTCACTGGCATTGCAAAGGCAGAGAGCCAGCCAAAGCCTCCCCCAACCCATGACTTTCTATTGAAGGACTACAGAGCCATAACAAGCTTAACTATAATCTATTGGGGACTAGGACACTTCAGAGCAGGCTACTCTCCTCCTTTGACACCTTCCTAGTGAGAGAAGGGAGGTGGGGGATACTGGGGAAGTGACCTAAGGGGGAAGGAGGGAGGGAGGGAGGCAGGGACAGAGAGGCCTTTACCTCACCATTTACAGAGAGAAGGGCATATGTGGAAGGACACATGGTGGGGTCATGTAACTTATCCTCTGCATTGCTGATTGAGAATGCCACTTAAGACCATGGATCTATTAAATTGCCAGTCTGTCTCCTATACCTGCTACATTATAGATGAGATTCTGCATTGATACATCTCCTTATTCTGTCACCCTAACCTCCCCCACCCTTCCTTAGGACCCCTGAACCTTCCCTGTAGCAGAAGCTGATGGAGGGGAAGGGCAGGACCAGCTTTCCTCACTAGCATTTTACCCCAACCATGTCCACTGAGCACTGAAAGCTGACTTTAATGCCAGTATTCCTGGGGTCACTGTGTATTGGTTTACTGAAAGTTCCTGTCCTACAAGAAAGTCCCCAAAGGGCCAGGTCCCTTTATTGCAGGCAGGAGCTCATTAGATCTAGGACCCACCTTTTGGAAGCATGGAATGAGATGCATCAACGAGGCAAAGGGAACTGATGTATGCTACACTACTCATAGAGATGTGCTTATTCTGTCTGGAGCTGCTTGGATGCCCAAACCTAATCAGAGCAGGGAGGGACAACTTTCCAAGAGGAAAATCTGAATGGGTGCATCAGGTAAAACTAAAACTACGCTGAACTCAAGTTGTCTTGGAAAGTATTGCCTGACTTCCACCTGTACATTACCATTAGACTCAGATGGGCATGTGAGATACAGAGGAAGTCATGCAGCCACGTACACAGAGTGATAGAATTTATCTGCACACACCTAATCCTGCTATTCCTATAAATGTGAAAAAGCTAAATCAAAACTGTGGTTTGGCCCTGATCTAGGGCTTCACAGATCTTAAGAGCATTATGAGTCTGAATTTGGTTCAAAGAGGGAAGTGCAAGATGCACAAGGAAAAGCCATGAACAAGGGAGCACATGGATAGCTGCTCCCCACCTCACACTTTTATTGGCTGTCTGTGCAATGTGTATAGCCAGCAACAGCAAACCCAACATGGGTGTGATACAACTGCCACAGTTTTCTCTGCATGGCAGTTCCTGGGCCCTTGGGATTCCAGAGAGCTGTGATCCAGGAAAGAGTTCTATGTCTGTCTTGCACAGGGTAATTGATACCATTGAAGTCATGGTATCAAGATGGCCCCAGTCAGAGGACACCATTAGGCTCATTTGTGCGGGCACCCCTGATACCAGCAAGAGAAGCCCATTACACTCTATAGCGATGCAAGAGGCATCACAGAGAGGCTGCCAGATCAATATCTACCTAACCTGCACTGGGGTTGACACTGCTTTGTCACCTCTCACAAGCTAAGCTCAGGGGCTACTTGTTTTAGGATTAGGCCACAGGCAGAAAAGGGGTGTTATCAACCTCCAGGCTGTGTACTCCACATCCATCAGCACTGCTGGTACGAAGGCCTTCGTACCCATGTGAAAAGTGTTTCTGTTGAGTTCAGTGTCTGCAAGACAGATGTTTCCTGCATCCTCTTAGAAGGCAGGCTCAGTGGGGAAGGTTCCTCTGCACAGCCTGCTTGCTGCATCTGGAGCTCAGAAGTTTCCGCTGGTAGAGAGCAGAATGAGCCCCTCTTTGCCGTTCCAAGAAATGGTGCAAGACACATCTCTTCTGAGTCAATCCTCCACAAAGGAGCCAATGATAGACAATCCCTGTATCTGAAGACAGGACATGGAATTTCTGTTCTCTCAGGTAGAATTTATGGTATCTAGTATGTGTGCGTGTGTGCGCATTGTTGTCTACAAACACATTCCATCTTTCTATAGCATCCTTCACCACACCTACACACAGAATCTGACCTGGCTTCTCTGCAGGGCATACTTTTATTTTTAGAGAGAATTGTGGGGAGAAAGGGAAAACTTAATTTTCTGCACGGCAGAAAGGCCAGATGATCTGATACCAGGGAGATAAGCACACAGTAAGCACACAAACTGTTTCCTACATATTTCCCCATTATCTTTGGTGTAGTTTTCATACAGCCTCTCTCCTGTTGGTCATACATACTACTGATAAGAAGAAAGAGCTGAGAGCCTCCCTGGCCTATGAGATACCACACTTTTGATAGTGGAGCACTTAAACACTCTGCCACAACCTCCGCTTACCCTCCCCAACAACTTAAGGAAGTCTCAATTTTGCATGAGAACTTACCACAGGCAGTGAAAACAGAAAAGTCCCACCCATGTCTTCATAATAAAAAGTCAACCACTCCTGTGTTGAACCCAAGCGGCCGCCACTGAAAAAATAATTTGATACTGGCTCCAAGAGGGTTAAACCATAAACATTCACTTTTTGTTTTTATTAAGAAAGCATGCACAAAAATAAACTCGTGAGACCACGCCCCCCTCTCCCCTACCCTTGACACAAAGCATCGTGGGCTGCACGGCCACGGAAGGACGTGACGAGCGAAGAGCTCCTCCCCACAGCGGGCCGATCTCCGCTGATTGCGCCCCTTTGCTCCTGCGGGCAGTGCAGAGTTCCAGTGCCCTGCCTTTAACTCCATGTGTCCGAGCCAATGCCATCCCGCTCGCTGATGATGCACATTTATTTCAGAGGGTGTTGGTGGGGGGTGAGGCTAATTTGCACACTGACCGGCATGTATTTACATATGCAAACAAGGCGCAACTGAATACGCAAAACAAGGCAAAATGAATATGCAAATGAGGAGTGCTTGAATACGCAAAGGAGCCATCTTGGCTTGTTTTTGTCTTCCAGATGGTGTTTCCAGGGTTCTCCTAAAAGCCAAGTGACCACAAACCATTTCCATGGGTCCAACTCTTGGTAACTTCCCCCTGCAAAGCACTGATTGGCACCTGAAGGGAGGTCATCTCTGCTGCTACACTCCACAGAAACCAAATCAATCCATGCTTCCTGATCATACCATTCGTATCCTGGGGCAATGGAGAGAACCACTGACTAACTCCGTGCTGAAGTCGGCTCTGAGATTCCTCACTCCTCTTGGGAACACGCAATGACGACCCCCTTCCCACCCCCCACTTAAAAAAACAAACAACCCCCCCACCCGCAAAAAATGCCCCACCCCTCCAATGAGACTCTATCTTCCTGACAAAGATCCGATTGGTTTATCCCTACAGCAAATTAAAAAGCAATGCTAAACTAGCTCCCCGCCCTTGGCATGTTGAGCCCCATGATGCTTTGCTTTCACCTTGGTTCCCCCTCACAAACAAATGGGGGCAAGTGGCGGACGTTACAAAATATAGAGGAAACAAGAGGTTTGACAGAACAGAGCCACGCTAGAAACAGGGGAGCAGAGGACACAGTGCAGGGGAAGGGGCCTCTCCACGCTCACTCCAGCTTTGGCAACTTTTCCCCTTCCAGCTGCCAGGGCGTCTGGCATTCAGCTCGTGCTCTCTCTCATCCTCCCCCCAGATGAACCACAAGGTGTCAGACGTACACTCCTCCCCCTCTCAGTTATCGTCCTCCCTTGGGCTGTGCAGTTTAACTACCTGCCCCACGCCTCCTGCCTCCCTGACCCATCAACAGAGGCCTCAACACAAAGTCCTCAAACCTCCCTCACTTCTGTGCTGTGGCTTCCTCTTTCCATTTTTAATTCACTCATAAAATGGGAACCACTGATGGAACATCTGCATGTATGCAGACAAGACTCCTGTTGCTTGCATCCTCATACCACAGGGGTAAGGACAGTCCCAAGAAACAACCAAGGGAACAGGCCACATGACTAACTGAACAAGAACTTTTGGGGAAGGAGCATGCATCCCAATTTGCATATGCAAATAAGAACCTCCCAGCACACTTTGGAGGAAGGGGGCAGGAAGCAGGAAAGTTGAAGATATGAGCTGGGAGAGTGTGGCTTGAGCTTGTCGGACACTCCCCATCCTGGTGCAAAACACACCTCCTGAGCTTTCCTTGCATGACGGTTGGGAATGCTGCCCCTTCCCTGCGGATGGCAAAAGGCAGTGTGTCTGGAACAGCTCAGGGTTCCCTCAAATTGCTACATGGTCCTTACAAAACAGCAGTGTTTTCTAAAACCAAGCTGCACCTCTGAGAGCTCCCCTCCTTTCTCAACACTCAGGCCACCCTCCTCCAGCTTAGCTCCAATCCCAGCTGTATGCTTTGTCCCCTCATTCCCTTAACACTTAGGGTCTCTGCCTCTTCTCTTACTCTCCCTGCTGGCATGAGAAAGTTCTCAGAGCTCAGATCTCCCCTCCAATGTCCCTGCAACTCCCTCACCTTTACAACATTTAAGAAACAACATAATTACAGGCTCCCAGGATCCACTAGGCTCTCTCACTCCGGTA